GCGACATAATAATTCTTTCCATTGAAACATTCCAGTAAAAGCATTATAGTCGATTGTAACCGACATTTCAATACCTTACACAACTTTGTTCGAGCGAAAACTTTGCAATCATTTTCGTCCTAAAATACCAAAACTCATGCCCTGTTACCATATAAACTCCAACTTTCCAAAGAAACGCTTACGCTCGGTGGACCACATTTAATAAAATTAATTTTTGTTTCAAAAGCCTATTAGTCCACATCAATGTCATGAAGTATCTGAAGTTGTATTTTGTTATTATCAACTTTTACTATACTTTTCCATAGATGGTATTTTGATTATAACTCATGCAAGTGTTTCGTTTGTAGATGGATCATAACTCATCAAGCAATAGTTAACGGACATATGTGATAAAAACGCAAAGCAAATTTATATACCAATCGTTACTCTGAATCGATTTTCATCACAAAATAGTAAAAATTTAACCTTGTTGTCCTATAAAGGGTTATCTTTCTTAGCAGTGCTTACGTAATAGAAGAAACGGTTTCGTTCCACTTTTATTCAATACTGCAAAAGTACTAAAAGTGTCCGGTCCCATCCATTTTCAACGACCTCCGTGCTTATCGTATGTCAACGTACATAAGCTTATCGAAGCACCGCGAAAATTGCACCTTGACGATTGGGCACAAAAACGTGAAAAGCGTTAGACAGACAGAGGGGCGGACAAGCATATATAAAAAGTTATTTTCGACCGATTAGTGTGATAGGTGGATCTATCTTTAACCCCTCTATGAATTTGGCGCTCAGAGATTAATAAGACAGACGGACAGACAAATTTAAATTGATGCAGAAAATGATTTTCAATCGATTAGTAGGTCCGTCCATCATAAATACATGGCACACGTGCGAACAAATATAATATGTCCCTACTACAAGATTGCATGCGACTGAACTTAACTGTTCTGACAAAGCGAACTAACTTTTCGGGACTGGCTAGACTTCGCCTCCTGGTCCTCCCAACTTATAAATCAAGTGTAGTTTATCCATATTTTTGTGTATTTTATCAGACTTAATAATACCGCTCTTTCGGTTTCTGGCGAACACCATTACAAGTTCTGTCGTATGTTCACGGTACGTATATAATTTTCTCATTGAGCGTTTAAATTTCTTAACATTTTATTCCAAGACACGTAACACAAATTCTTAAATATAATCTTGTGCGGGAAGCCTATGCAATGGCAAAAAAAAGACGTAAACAAGGATAAAACCACAGGCACAAGACCAACAAATAATCCAATAATAAGAGTAAGGAGAAACCCAAATAAGCTTAATTGAATTAGAGCATTGACACCAAAGTGCGTTAACATGAACATGAACTAAGTCAGTTATTGCCTAGAATGCTTTTAGCCCAGTACGGTGGAAATAAACCGAAAAGGACACAGAAAACTAACATAAAATTGCAGTCACAAGAGCTAAGTTCCAGCTTAGCCGGGCAATCTTGTTTTGCTTATTCTGTATCTCCTAAAATTCACATTACTTAAGATATTGATAAGAAGAATAAATAAAATTGTAGTCCTTTCACGTACGTTTTAGTCATTTTAATATTACGAATACGTAGGATTTTTATATGAAAATCTGCCACAAAGTAGTATATCAACCAAAATCAGTATCGGCATGTTTTGGTTCAAGGAGGGACGTTGTTGAAAGTGCTTTAGATAAAACCGTTTTTGTAAAAAAGAAGTCATAGGAAACACGTATTATATTTTGGTGCATTCAAGGAATATCGAAAATTTGGATGAAATAAAATCATTCATTCAATCGTCTCGCCTAAAAGCACACTTACCAAAAATTAGCCTTTATAGAGAAAGGAGGCCGAATTTTTAAAATTTTATGATGAAAATTAGTAGGAAACGGTGTACTCCTCGGATTCCTCCCCATGGAAGATTTCTCATAAGAAGTAATTCTTTACAGGGCTAAAAATGTCATTTTTTGTATTTTAGATATAAAGCTTAAGCAATAGCGCCTTATCACCCTTAAGTTGTGACGTTACGAAAATACCACATTTGATGTAATGAGCTGGCAAACCAAAACGCATTCATTCACGCTTTACATGCCGCATCAGTAGGCGATTGTCGAAAACATTATAACAGTTCAAGGAGTTAGGGATTAGAACGAAATTGTCGGAAAGAAATTAAATAACTTGGATAACTTGGTTGTTAAAGGATATATTAGCGGAATATTTGCCAAAGGCAAACGCGGTCGAGTCAAGTGAGTTAAACCAAAACAAGTTCCCGTAAATAATTTCTAGATATGCCTCCGAAGAATTGTAAACAAAACCTATACCATCGTAAAAATCATAATTCAATAGTACGCCCTTAATCTCAAAAGGGACTGAGTAGAAATACATAACCACAGAAGCGCAGTTTACGTTACATCATTGTATATATATTTCCGGTATATTTTTTAATTTTCCCTTGAATGAATTTTCCCTTGAACAGAATATTTTCACATTAGACAAAGCGTCAGATATATTTCCGTTTATTTCCAATTTAATTTAATTTATAGGCCTATCGGATTCGGGTCTTTGACGGTCGTCTTAAATGGTTTTCGTTATGGTTGGTTCTGAGTTTCCATTTATTGTGGGACGGGACGGGACAATAACATATCGATTTCTTTTTTTTCGAATTTCCTGCGATCGGCGTAAACTTATGTACAAATTTTTAAGACAACATTGTTACTAAGGATTGTAAATTATTGTTTGTTTCTTAGTGTGGGCATGGTTGCAGATATATTATACCCAATTTCAAATTGATACTTCGGCCGTCAACTAAGAATGTGTATAGCTTCAACTTGTTATCTCACTTGTTGCAATTATAGCCGGGTTTGCAGATTGATTATGACATCGGGATTAATTGATGGCTTTGCCCGCTGTTATGTAAATATTCTCAGCATTTTTTGGTTGTTTATGACCAAACGGAAAGGAAAAAGCCACCAATAAATACGCTACATCACTTTCCTTAATACAGTTACTAATATACTCTGAATAAGGCATTAGATAGGAAATGGTCGAAAACCTCCTTCGATTCGGACAGCCTTCGTCCTTGGACCGAAAAATAGAAATGTACCAAATGTCAACAATTTTGCCCTATAAGGTCAACAGGAGAAAACTAGACGGACAGACAATTCGGTATAATAAATGGTAGGCCTGTCTGTCCCTCTCGTTGCTGCATACATTCGCACAAGCTTGTTATTCCCTTGTTCCACAAGTCGTGTAAGGTACAATAAATGATTTATTGTATCAGCTAAAGTTATAGAGTAAATAGAGTAAATAATATCCGGCATGCCCGTAATCACGCAAGTGAAATAAATTGAGATAATTATTTATCGTTTCCACTGCGATTTTTTTTGGATCAGGCACATTTCTTTATCATGGTCGGAGAGATTTTTATAATGGTCGAAGGTAATTTCATCATTGTCGGGGAGATTTTCATCATGGTTGCAAAGAATTTTACCATTGTCGGAGATATTTGCATTTATTGAAAGCAACTCTATGAAGTGAATAAGTTTAGGAAGTGTTGTAGAGTAAATAATACTCCGGCCTTGCCAACGATATTTGATCGTTTTATTTTCTCTGTGCGTCACATACATCTATTTGATTACCTAGAATTAGCGAAGTAAAGCTGCCGTAACGGTTACTCAAGTCTTCATCTAAGCATATAGTCATTTAGTTCAGCATGTTGTGTAAACTATTTCAATATTCATAGAATCTTCATTGTTTCGTGTAACCATACACATAAAGCCAGTACACGTGCTTCCGTTTTTTTTTCAACTTTGTTTTGTTTTTGCTAACAATTTTCTAAAATATTACGTAATCGAATAAATATGTTATCTATTCATCAAGTAATTACTCTCAACCTTTTGTAATCAAATAGACCAAACGATGAATATGAAGAACAACTTTAATAAAACAAACAATGCCGATATTACCTATGAATGCATCTGACATATATAAACAGAGTGCAATTTAAATCTTAAGTGCAGTCTACACAAATGCTAAGCAATAGTTTCATGTGGCTTTTGTTTTCGTTTCTTGTATATTTATTTAATTTATTTTGTTTTTTATTCAATAAATTTGAATAAATTTCTTCTTTTTTTCTTTCTTTTATTCATTTCTGTACTGATTTTATTTTATGTATATAGTAATTGTTTTTATTTTTTCAATTCTTTTCTGATTTAAATTTTACATAAACTTTTTTTGCTGATTTCAATTTTATATATATATATATATATATATATATTAATATATACATATATATATATATAATAATAATAATAATAATAATTAATTATAGACTTACGTACACAAATCATATTTAAAAACTTAAAGTTTACAAATATCTAAACAAACAGTTATTAATTAATATATTTACTATATATTTATAATTATATAAATATATTATATACTACCTGTCTATACATATATATGTGTATATGTATGCATATATGCATATATACAAATAATGTATAAATATATCTATATATATATATATATATATATATATGTAAATATACACATATATATGTATATTAATATTATGTGTATGCATATACTTTTTAGTTCCTTAAAAAGGAGTGGGAGATGGAGAGAAGATAGAGGCGAAATTTTATTGTATTTTTATGTTTTTGAAATTCTTTTATGTGAAATCAATTACCACGCTTAGTGATATGTGCATACGTATGTGTGCTTTCTTTTAAGAATATTTTTCCCTAACTTACAAGAAGTAGTTACGAACAATATTTTTTTGCTTAAATGCTATGACAAAGTTAATCTGACAATCAGAAGAAATTATGAAAATATTGATACGAGTTACAGAAGAATGACGAGAGTGTGTAGTAATATCTTGTATAATGCAATTGTGTGATTTTCAAATTCGTTAATATTGAAATTTCTTCTTTTTTTTTTTTTGTTTATATTTGATTTCTCTCTCTATCTCTTGTTTATTTATTTACTTTTTCTTTTAATTGTTTGCTTTAATTATTTGTTCATATTGAGTAATGTTTAATTATTGTAGTTTGTTTTGAATAGTATGTGTATGTGTGTGTTTATGTGTATTTGTGTTTATGTGGGATATTTTTCAATTCTCATTTCTAAAATGATGCATTGTATAAATTGCAGTGGGATTTGCCTAAAATTATTCTCATAACTTATGATTTGAAGTCAGCCACGTCAGGCCTTCATAGAGGCCATCACCGGTGGTGGCACATGACGGTTGCACATACCAATTACGATCGCGTATCCGTGTTAAACCTAATTTCTCTTGAATCTCATGGGGCTTCATAGCTGCAAAAAAAAAAAAAAATGATAATGATGAAATGTGTGAATAAGATTTGAAACAATAGCAAAGAGACGAAGATTTAAAGCAAGCAATTCTTTTCTTTTCTAGTTGCCCACTACTTTTTATACCCGGCACGAATTATGGCACAAGGCATACAAGCTTGTGAGGATGTATGCAACACCCGGAAAAACTTGAACGATACCGATCTAAGCTTGTCTGTCCGTCCTTGTGCAATCTGCAGGTCACAATTTTGGAGGTATGTTGATGAAATTTAGTACACTGGCGTGCTGTGGCAAAAAGACAAACGCGATTTAAAATTGCTCCGATCGCATTACTTTTTCGATCACTTCCCATACAACACCACATTTTGAAAAGTCACTATATGAATAACTGTTTTGTGATGTAGGGTATTTAATGGTGGACTGTGGCCCACTAAATAATTTTTATTTGTTTTCTTTTTAAACTAAAAAATGTATAGATTTCAATTTATTTCGATGTCAAGTTCGAGTTCATGAAAGCAAACTACATGAGAGCGCTGCAAAGTAAAATATCGTAAAAGAGTAAGCGGCTTATCCCTTAGTGCAGTACGTAAACATATCAATCTATGATTGTTGTCATAATTGATTTCGAGTATGTTGTAACATATAATGCAAGGACGAACTTTATATTTTACCGAACGATGATCCCAGATTATATTATATTATACCGGATGCTAAAGTCGAATTACCTAAGGATTAGTAGGACTGTCTTGGCAGCTTCACGGATGCTAGGAAACCAAAAACAGGCGAGCAAGTGTGGGGAGAATCCCATTCATAACCACTCACTATAAACTGAACTTAGTTAAAGGAAAATCGAGTGCATTTAGGTTAAGCTAGAATGAGTCCTTTACTAACCCCTTTCTTTGAAGTATTTTAGGTACTACGTAGTTTTGTACTACGTAGTTTGTTAGATTATTATCGCTTATTCAATCTTGCAGTGGTTCTTCTCTCTCTATCTCCCTCTAAGTTCTAAAAAGCCAGCACAAAAAACTCTTTATTGAATTTAAAACACTTTGGTAACCGCCTGCCTTTAAATTTTAAAACTATTTGGCTAACAATATGCGGATGCGTTCTGTAACTCTAATGTCAAAAATTTCTTAATCGATTTCAATCATTTCTCTTCTATCAAAACTACATATAAGAACCACCATGGTGTCTAAGCAATGGTCTAAACCGTTTTCCCTGTTGGGCTGATCAAGAGTGCACTCTCCGATGCCTCTGATGCATAATCTTGTTTTATCCATGCACCCAGAAAAATTGATTAGAAGGCCAATGGAAAAGTAGATATATCTAAATTTGTTTCCGTTGTTAAGCTAATCAAGACCACAACTTGGGAAAGAATTCTGAGTTCATACTCAAAATTTTGAGATGTAGATGAATAGGCAGGAATAGCTAATCATTTTCATTATAGTTTGACCAAGATGCCATTCTTTGCAATATCCAGTTGCGTATTTTCACGCATAGGGAAGCTGAATAAGTTTTACTGTCAATTGCTTACCATCTGCTAAGTCTTGCTTATTTGCAAAAATTAAAATAATGGCATCTCGCATTTCTCTGTCGTTAATTATTCGATGCAACTCTGTTCGAGCCTCGTCTATGCGATCACGATCCGCACAATCAACCACAAAAATAAGGCCTTGAGTACCTAAAACATAAGTAAAAAATATGTTTAATTTTAATTTAATTTTTCATTTATAAAAGATATATATATTTTTTTGTACTTCACTTTACCTGTGTAATAATGCCGCCACAATGGCCTAATCTTATCCTGACCACCCACATCCCACACATTAAATTTGACATTTTTATACGTTACAGTTTCTACATTAAAACCTACTGTTGGTATTGTTGTTACCGATTGACCTAATTTTAATTTATACAAAATCGCTTTTAATATGAGAGAAAAAGAGAAAAAGTGAAAAAAAAGAGTAACAATAACAAAAGAACGTTAAGAAAAAAATTCAATGAAATAATTTATTGAAAAAACATACTTGTTTTGCCAGCAGCGTCCAAGCCGAGCATTAATATACGCATTTCTTTGTTACCAAAAATTTTTGATAATAATTTCCCCATAATGACGACGATGCATTAATGGTTCTTTTTGAATAGAAGGTAATCTGAAAATAAAAATTTAAAAAAAATAAAAACTTAAAACTTATTACAGGTATAAATCGAAAATCAATTGTTTGAAATTGTTTTAGATTAAAAATTACGAATTCCTTTTCAGAGAATAATTAATTAAAAATCCTAATAACTAAAGGAAACTACAAATTTGGAATCAATTATAAAACTGGTTTTGCTACTAAATCACAAAAAAATGTTAATTTCCAAAAACACAATAGAATACAGTATGGAAAATCTATATTGGGTCGACTTTTGAATGCATCTCACCGAAGCTAAAGCATTTAAATCTTTCACTTTTCAACTTTGGGCTATATAATTCCTTTGCCAGCTGACAGCCACATGCATCCTCTAAAACTATTTATAGTAGATTTTTATTGCATTGTTAACGATCAGGCGCACCGCTGACTGGCAGTTAGTGATTCAGATTCCTACGTTAATCAAAGAAATACATATGATCTTGGTCTTGATCTTGATATGCAAGAAACGGCCACTATGCAACCTGGACCACAACAGCTATGTTCTAGAAATTATTTATCAATGCCTTCCAAAAGTAACTTTAATCGATCAATAATATGATCAAATTTTTGATCAATTTTGATGTTGTCTACAACACGATTACTAGTAGAACTGCTACATCTCCTAGCCTTTACGAATAACCACAAACACACACCACGGGCTTACATATTTTTCCGATTAGGCCCGGATTCCGAGTCTGCATAGGCAGGTTCGTCGGTTCATCCGCCTGTGTGTCCGATACCTCTCTTTCACAATGGCTTACGATAGGTAAAATTGATATAGATAGAACTTGGCGTACGTAGGCTTAACCTGCAGCCATAACTCAATTAACCTTGGTATCCATGATAGACAAAATATTAAACTAAACGAAAGCGAAAATTGAATGCAAACATAGTGCAATTAATTTTAAATGCCATCCAAATTATCAGTGAGATAGTAGTTCGTTCGATTAACCGACACCTTCACCTTTGGCAAAATTTTGCCGATTTGTTCAGCATTTACTTACATTTACATGGCTTAAGTTGTGCAATCCAAATATTAAGGAAAAATAAATAAAAACTTAGTAACACACTAGCGGAACACAGCCCACCATAAAATACGCTACCAGTTCGCTTAATACACTTGCTCATACCACGAGTTCTCAAAATAAGGCATTATACGGGAAGTACTGGAAAAGGTGATCATATCCGAGCCATTTTCAACAGCGTTCGTCCTTGGGCCAAAAATAAACTCAAAAGTGGCTACCTCTAGATTCAACAGAAAAAACGGGGACGAGCAGAAAATGATCCTGCGTCGATCAATATAATAAAAGATGGGCTAGCCTAAAATTCTTTTAAGTGTTGCATACATCCGCACGCAACTTAATATACTTTTGGGTAAAAGCATTCAAGGCCACCTAACCGATATGCTTATAAATTAAAATTAACCAATTATTTTGCGACCTTTATGTTTTCGATACTATAAGCCCGTCTAGCAAAGCAAATCTAGTAAATCTTTAAATTTAAAAAATAAACAACTTTTACTTCGGAAATTATCTTAATCGGTTCGAGGACAAAATGTAACATTCCGCATATTAAGTGCAATTTCTTTTCTAATTTTTTGTCTATGGGGCTTCCAGTAGTAAGTGATGATTCCTAAGCCAGATTAGTCAATTAATTAACAGGATTTAGCTACTGGTCTTATAGTGTCTCTGACGCCCAGCACAACACAACTATTCAGTGGTTGGGACAGAAAACAAAGCGTATATATATAAATATATAAGTCAGCATGCCTACCTTGAATATCAATTGCCTATTATAATATTAATATATATGTATATAGAAAATTATAATATTTTCTTAAATAGGAGCAATGACATAATTTTTTGCTGCCATTTCAATTAACCTAAGTTCTTATCGAATATCTTTTATAGGTTGTTCGATACAGATTTTGGTAATTTTCGGAAAACTACCACCAATTTTAGTCCACATTGGGAGCAATGAACTTAGGTCTTTTATGTTAAATTTCACCTTTCCAATCGTGATATTTTCAAAACCTCACCGGACATACGGACGAGGCTCATTGGCTACAAAATTGTAGCATAAATCATAAATATTTATATACTTTCCCGGCTTTTCCACTCGCATTTCAAAAAAATAATCACAACTGCAACTTTTATAATGAACCTCGTAATAATGCAAATAATTTCTGCGTACAACTAAACGTCCGTATATGTAAATAATTAATCTCATATAGTTCTATTATGTGTTAAGCAATTAAATCATTTTATACAGAATCAATTGCAATCTTTCGCTATATACGTTATATTTCTACGTGTATTGAAGTCCTATAAAGAATATCTCAATAAAGCACATCTCTGTAGGTCATTTATTAGTAAACGGCATTCAATTTTGATTACGTAGAGAAGTCAAAGATAGCATCATTTGTTTGGGACGTAAGTGCAGTAGATTAAACTCCAGATTTTTTTAAATAAATAAAAGAATTCTTTCGTAGCATCAAACAACGTGCGAGTCAACACACATGGGTTATTTATGTACAAAACACATACACGCACAAACACTTAATAATAATTTAGGGCGTGATCATAACATCACATCATTGTAACAAATTCGCACAAAAACACAGTTCAATGACAATCAGACGTGATGACAAAAGTAAGAACAGCAACAACAAATTGAACATAAAAAGTTCATCGCACATTATTGTACAATGGCTATTATTATTGATAACTGAAAACCTTTTCCGGTATAGTTTAAGCAGAATGATTTATCTTGTTTTTTTTTTTTCTTTTTTTTTACTAACTCACAAGGCAACTCTGGCCATATCAGTCCATAAGTAAATTTTCTATTAGATTTTATCCGCTTTGTTAACCACTTTGCAGTCTCACAATCGCGTAACTACACTAAACTTTATTTAACTTTATCGCGCTCTTACGTTCCATTCTTCTTTTATTTATTTATTTTTTTTTTTATCAATGCAAACCTTGGCAAACACTTAGAATTACACGTCACAAATACTGCCGCCCGTCGTCGCCGCAATATGAAAAATTACACAGAAAAATATTCCTTCGTTCCTCTCACAGCCGCTACACAACTTTTTCTTGATAAATCACTGCCCTCAGGGCGCATAAGGTTTTCCAAATTTCCAATTGCTTCAAACGGATGTTACACATTAGTAAAGCTGATTTTCCTTAAATCATATTTAGTAAACTTCATTTCTCTAAATTCTTCTTATTCAGTACACATAAGTAAAGCATCCAGTTCTGTCAAGTTTCCAATTTAATGTTATAAAACAAAAAAAAAACGAAAAATTACTCATTTCATTTCAGAATGAAGATGATTTTTATCGAGAGCACAAAATTATTGAGAAAAAAAAATTTACATATAACATAGGTGTTAAATATTGAACTTTTAAAACGTTGTTCTAAAAGTGCGTAACACAGAGCGATACAGAAGTAAATATATTGTCTGTTTGTTAGAAAAATAAAAAACATAACAAAGAAGAAAGTGAAAAACAAATCGCAACGAGAGTTTTACTTTCATGTCATGTGAAAAAGAGACAACATCTCGTATTTATTTACTTGCTATGCTATTCTGTATAGAAAAGCCGGTGATTGACTAAACGAATGAAAGTTATTTTTCAAAAACACTTATCTTTACGCAACTAAATTAAGAATTTTTAAATTATTTATAGAATTATGTTTTCCTTAATTAAGATAATATTCTAGGTAGTATTTTACTACAAAGCTGTACTTCCTTATCGCAAATTATACATTGCTCTGGAAAAACTTTTAAAGACAGATGTTAAGTTGTTGCAATTGAATGTATAGTAGCATTCACTGCTATTTACACTCTTATGGACGCTGTTTTTGGAATTTAAATGAAAGTTCATTTTTATTATAAATTTTTATCGCCAAATCAAAATTGCAACATATCCTTGATACAATAAAAAACTCGTGCACAATCCAAAAGACATGTCAGACGCAGTAAGTATTTACTATAGTCGTAAATTTTGACAATGAAACGATTTGACGGGCATTCGCTTACAAGACTACTATTGATATTTCTGGATATGTGCCTATGTACAAGTTTGTATATATATATACGTACGTGCATCTGTATATATTTATGTATGTTATGTACATACATATACAAAAATAAGAACTACTGTAGCATATTCATAAATAAAGAGATATACTCTGTAAGTATACTTTTTGTGCCCTTTGCAAAATATTGTCAGTGGACCTATCATTACTTTTTTAGGGTTGTGAAAATTGGGAAGAAAGCCGAAAACTAATATATATGCTCTTTGCTAACATGAGAGAATTTAGTTTGAAATTGGGTATGGTCCACAAATTACGTATTGGTTAAAGACGTTGCGGATAGCCATACATAATATGTATGTATAACAATTTTAATAGATTAGTATAAAATCGTGCGTGTCAAAAATCAGTATCGAGAGAAATACAATTTTCTTACTGCTTTTACTTAGATAAGCGGGAAAATGCAACCATGGGCCATAATGAGAATTTATTAATTGCATAAATTCGCCTAATGTCCATTAAATTGGCGCGCTTTACGCGATAAAAGAGTACAAACACATTGAAATTGTTGTTATAAAACACATTTATTTTAACTAAATTAGAAAAATAAATAAACAAAGGTGTCAAAAGAAAAGAAAAATAGGAAAAAATTGTTCTAGATAGAATGGAGACCGAGATGAGCGAAGCATATTATGGAGTTTACTGCTCATCCAAAGAGATTCTCAAAAATAATCAGCGTCATTTATATTGCAGCGTATGTATTCAAGTTTTTTCACAAGTTTGTCAACATCCTAGCATCTAATTGCATTTATTTGCATTGATTATTTTATTAGATGCTGGATTTATTAACGAGCACCTGTAAAACAACAAGCCTAATGGGTGGTAAAATAGCCAATGATGAAATGTTCAATTTTTGGCTGAATGATATTTTACCTTTAATGTTTGATGCGGATCGTGCCATACAAAGTAAAGCAGTTGAAGCTTTTGAACAGGGCATGATTTCATTGGATATTGAAACCATGCATAAATGTAAACAATGGCCTGCGCTAAAAGCTGCTTTGACTGCAGAGGCCAGTAAAATACACAAATTATTAGAGAATCGTAATTCCTCTTGGTATCGAGTATGGGGTTTTTTTATACGTCTTTTAGATCGTGAACTAGCAAAAAAGGCCAGCACAATAAACACTTTCTTGGCTATAGTGGAAATGGGTTTTCGTAATGGTGACAACACCGTGAGAATAGAATCGTTTCATTGTTGGCGTTTGCTTATCCAAATATTTGCCAAATATATGGAAATAAGTTCTCCCAAACGATTAAAACTTATTTGTATACCATTGAAATCGTCGCAATCCAAATCAGCTTTGGGTGCTGAAGTGAAATTGCGCGTATGGTGGTATTTGCTGACTTGTTTGGATAGTGACTTAGTGAAACATTTCGAGATGTGTGTCGGACCATTTCTAATATTTTGTTTTGGTAACGGGTCGTCGTCAGAAACATCGGTGTGTACCGCACAACAATATGAAATAGTTAAAGAACTGGCTTTGCTTTGTTTAGCTAAATTGCTCAGCTGTGGTAAAAATGAGACATTAGAACGTTGTCTGCGTGAGAGAAAGTTGGAAAATCTTTCGGTACCATCTCCTTTACTGGACTCTGAAATTCTAGAAAAGTATTGGCAACCTCTAGTTAAGGCTTCTTTTCAAGCTTTGCGTTTAATAACGCTAGAGGATCAACAAAATCCAGATCAGGATTTAGGCAGGCAGTTACTTTATCAGCAACTTTTGCGGCAACTTATGTTAATGACCTTAAGTAAGGATATACCTCTGTTAACCGCTTATGTCGCAGACGCTTTGGTTCCTATGATAAAGGATTCTCCTCGCTTAGTAGGCTATGCTATGAATATATTAGCGTCCGAAGTTTTGCATATGCGGAAAACTGTCGAAAATTTGGATATATTCGGTAGTGTAATAAAAGGATTTACTCGTCTTTTTATAAAAGGGCAAGCCATTATACCCCCAGCCATATTAGAAAGATGTGTACAGAGGGTTTTTAGCTTGGAATTGCATGAAAGTGGCACACAAAAGTGGCGTTTTTTAAACACGTTGCTGGAACATATCTTCCACTGCCAGAATGAGGACGAGGATTACCAGGCCTTTGAAATGAAACTATTGATTTGGTTAAAGGTTTCCCACGATTTAATGCAATATTTGAAACAAAACCTTTTGGATGTAAGGATTAAAGAGAATGCCACTGCAGTGGAACGTTGGTTGTTATGGCCTTTGCAGTTAAGTGTCGGTTTTGCTGGTATTCGCTCTAATAATAGTTTTGATCAAGTATTCTGTACAGTGTGGTGTCAACTTTTGCGTGCCGGACAAAATTCTCCAGATCGTCCAAAATTTTTAAGTCAAGTGAAAAATAGTTTGAAAGAATTATTACTAACCCGCAATGAAACAATGTCGTTTTCTGAACTCTTCGATGCTTACGTGACGAATGTCTTGACGTTGGAAAACACACGCAACCGGCAAAAGAAATTCAAAGAGGTATTCGATTTAATGCAGGAACTTCTAAAGCAGCACCAAGAGCCATTTAAATTGCCAAAAGATATATTAAGAGCTGCTTTGGATACTTTTTCCAAGGCTTTAATGAAATTGAAAAATGAAGATATCTCTGAATTGTTTGACAACCTTCGAGAAATTGCAACATCCGTAAAGCGTTTTAATGATAAAGACATGGATACCTGTTTCCTGGAGGAATGGAAGAAGGCAGTTTTAGATAAGTTGCGCCAACATCCCGCTAAAGAGTTGCTTTCCCAAATGAAAGAGATTTTGAAAGGTAATGACATGTTGTTTGTTGTTATACCCTCTGTATGGAGCCTAAATCCAGATAAATTAACAGAACGCCAAAAGGAGCGAATGGCTGAAAAGCAAGATATACCTGCTTTATATAATGATATGAGTCAATCCCAAGATAGTTCGTTGAAACCGTGGACGCCAAAAAAAATTGTCATTGCTCAGAAAGATAAGTCTGAAATTGTTTTGGAAAGCCAGGAGCCTAACAAAGATGAAGAAGAGGAGAGAGACAAAGACAAAGGTAATGGGGTTAAAAGCTCACCTAAATCTAAACAATCAGAAGAAGGTGAGAAGTATAACACGCGCAATAACAGTAAAAAACAGGAGGCATTAAAAAAGATAGAAGAAGAAACGAAAGAGGAGAAGGACAAAGTGACAAGAGTAGCTGGCGATAACCAAACGAAGAAGGTATATTTTTATAGAAACTAATGAAATAAGCTAATGAAAATGAAGTTAGCTAATTATGCTAAATTTTGTAGCCGCAATCACGCAAACTTTGTTTACGCGCCAAAAACGATGTTAAAAATCCTGAGGAAAAATCAAAATCTCCGCTTATCCCGGAGGAAAAAATTCATCATAACCAACAAGAGGAGACGGGTAAGAAAAGAAATATTCAACATATCTATATCATATTTTCACATATTTTTGTTGGCAACGTGTCGTAATAAAGCTGCGGAGGCGTTAGTTAGTGCGGCTCTTCCGCAAAGTGAAGATTTGTTCAAAGAGTCCGAAATAATACTAGAAGAGCATAAACTTAAAAAAAATAAAGTACAAGAGCCAGAAACCGAAGTGAATACTGCAGATCTTATGGCGAATTTAGTAAACGAAAGCCCTGCAGAACGAGTGAAGGACAGAGAAATTGTAGACTTAACAAACACGGAAGAAGAAATTTTATCACCAAGCGATAAAAATTCATCTAACGCTCTTCATATCAATGAAAATAGAGAGAATGATTCAATTGAGAACCTTGAAAACACTGCCATACTCCATTGTAAGGAAGGTCAATCGTTGAATGAGATAACACCGGTGAAAGAGATTTCGCCGAAAAAGATAATACCTACTACTAAATTTACATTATTGGTAGGTTGTGATTTTAATAGCCATGAGTAGATATCATAATTACTTTTGCTATAGTCTTCTCCTCCTGGACGTAAGATAATTAACAACAGCACCAGTCCTACGTTAAAACCGAAACCTTGTTCACATTTAACGGGCCGTGGAGCTCAACTGATTAACATGATACGACAGAAAAAACTGGAGGCTAATAGCAACCAATCGACAAGTGTAGCTTCTACGCCGCATCAACAACGTAGTGCTCACGGTGAACTGATGGAATTGACTGGTACAGAACACACTTCTACACCATTACAAACCAAAGAGCTTTTGGTTTTTTCTAAACGTCTACCATCGCCGACAGCCAGTCCTTCTGTTAGTATACTAAAACGTAAATTGCATCAGGATACCCTAGATGATATGACACCGTACGACTCACCCGCTACGAAGCGAAAAAGAGTGAGTTTTCACGATCCCCCGGTTTCCGTGACAAAGGAATATATTAGAGATGTAGAAGAAAGTAAAACTAAACCCAAACGGTTAGCAGAAAATAAAAATATTTGATGAAGTTCTTCTAAATATATATTTTCCTTTTCTAGTTGTCTCATTATGGATAAAATAAACACTTCGCCCTCGCCGTTAGAGATTAAATATGTCTTAAGAAGACGTAGCAAATTGGATAGCTTAATCGAAATTGAAAAATATCCTCATAACGCGGAAGGTAATAATGAGAAGAGCCCTGCTGATGGAAAAACATCAACAGATATGGATATGGTAGATGAGAATGCTTTAGATTCGCTTAGATGGGATGACAGTCGTAATACATCTGCCAATAGTGACGATAACCCAGCAGAAGCAGGCAGTAGTACTTCTGAACTGCCCTCGGACAATAGTGCCTTAGACATGCCTGATGAACATCAATGCACATCTCATAGCCTAGCAGCTGAGTTAAATCTTGAAAATGCTTTGAAAATAGTTACAGAACAGTGTTCATTGGATAACCTATTGATCAAATATTTTAATCTCGAAAAGTCACCACAACTTAAATTTACAAATACTGTAGCAAAATTTCTCTCAGACGCTATGATTACACATGCAAAAATCAAAAGCAATGTCTTGGAGACTTTTTCAGAAAATCATTCGAAAGATTTTCTAGATCATGCCGTACAAGAGAATCTCTCAACTGTGGTGTGCGATCGTCTTAATCTAAATTCGGTTATAGAATACGTTTGTGCCAAATCGCAAATCAATTCGAATTGTCGTAATAATCTTCTGGAGCAGTTACCTAATGTTTTGAAAAATTGTAAAAACGAAGAGGAACGTGTTGGTCACGTTAAAAACTTATTACGGCAATGTCAATTCTCCGACGAACATATACTTGACTTAATAAGCACATTAATGCGTTTTCGCAACAACAAAACCCCAACCGATACCATACAGATGACTACGGCGTCGTTAGTGTCGGAATCTGCCGCAGACTCTTCATCTAATTTGTAATTTTTATGCATATGGGTTTGCCCTTAGTTTCAACGGCTAACAATTGTTTTATAAATATATTATTTTAAATATAGAGTTAGTCGATAACAGTTTAAACGAGAAGAGAATGTACTTACGGTTGATTAAATTCAATTCATTAAGAATACTTTCTAAAGGAGTAACATGTAATACATTATTTTAAAAGAAATTGATCAGATCAGATAGGAGAAAGTTCAAAAGTAAGTAAATAGAAGCATGGAAAACGACATCGGTACAAAACTTTTTGAATGCAGCGAATATGATGAAGATTTTGAAACGTACGCACACACACATCAGACTAAGGTGGCTTTTACGTGGTATTGGCAATCGTAAGAAAGCAGTAACGAAGCTTAAGGTTATAATCGGATTTTAGAACTAAAACATGAACTACGCCCTACAATCATAACTGCCCGATATATTGGTATATTGGTCTTAGCGATTAGTGATCAAAGCGATAACTGCTCCATGTTTCAAGGAAACTTCCTGCAACTTTAAGAAAAAGTCGCAAACGTATAGTAAAAATTATGCTATCAATAATGAGACTTCAGAAAATCACGCTCCCTTCACGTAAATGGGCTGCACAAGGTAAGCGTGCAAAATTTGTATTGTTTTGGCAAAGTTTTATGTTGCAAGTGACCCAGGAAGCGTAATTAAATATATTTGCCATGTCTTACTCAGCTATGGAAGGAAGTCACATATTGTTTGTGTGTTTTGTTAATGCTTTTGGGATTCCGAATGTTTTAGTTTAGGGCAATTGCGAGCCTTTGGATTCAAACATTAACATCACGTCTCGAAATTAGTTCCATACGCTGATTCGAGAATCGGGGATGAAGTGATGCTATAGTTATTGTGAGGGTGATTGAGGACTAAGCAACTGAATTTTTTCACAAAGCAAATTTATTATTGGCACAAGTTGCTTTGTATATCGTGAGCTTGATAGGCGGCCAAAAGGCTGTATGGCGAGGGTACTTTGACTACTACTAACTTTTGACTACATTATGAGGAACAAAGGTCGCTCTCCCATAATCAATAATCAACACATCATCTCAGACTTTTTTTTTTTTCGTAGAACCTATGATTACTTTCTAAAGACACCTACGAACATATTACAGAGGTTAGAAACAAGCCGAAGTTGCTCATCAACAATTTCATCAAGAATATCAAATATCGAAAGCTAAGCCGAGTATGTTTCTTATTTTATTATTAATTTTTTATTTATTGTGAAAATGTATCCAAATGGGCTTAGAAATTAAGCCGTAGCTTCCCAGAAGGGGTCAGTGTGATGCTGGAGTTGTTTAGGACTTTTCCATGATATATATGACAATGGATGAAGTAGGCGATTCATCGCTACACTCTAGCGTCTGCCAGCCAAATGGACAGCAAGCAGCGAAACTCGTCCAAAAGGACCGAAAATCTGTTGCCACTAAAAGAGGTGTAACTTGGAAACCGGAAAAATGTTTTTTCATAAATATCATTACAAGATCGAAAGTTTTACAATATAAATTAGCAAAAAAAAAAAGTGGGAACATGTGTCAGCCAGATTGGATTAGATGATATTATGATGACTCACAACTATAATCAAAGTTGTGTTGTCGTCGTCAGTTCACAACACTTGTTATGATAGCCTCTTGAATTCTTGTGTCGTCAATTAATTGTGATTTTCATTGCTTACAACTTAACGTCAGATACTTTTCATGCTATTATAGTTCACAACAGTCTCAAAGAAACTCAGTGTACTGTTGTCGATTTACATAAGTCTTTACAACTGATTACAGAGACAATTGTCGCTAATAAAACTCTAATATAACAAATATGCGGAAAAATAAAATGGAAAAAAAGTACGTAAGAAAAAATGTATGTTTTCTAAAAATTATGCATAAAAATAATTTACTTCTAGTATTAAAATTACAAACAAAAAGCAATTCAAAGCTATGGTAGAATGGATGAAACAACATCCGGACATAGCTAAAGGCAAAGGACACTATGGGCCAAATAAGTGTCAATTGAAAGAGAAAATTGAAGAGTTGGCTTTCGAAATGAACGCTTATGGACCGCCTATACGCTTGCCTGAAGAATGGCTAAGGGTATGCATTTCAATTCCATCGCACTACGTATGCTGAAGATCAGACTTGATCGGTTTTAATATACTCACTTTTTTCTTCTTCCAATGAATTTCGATTTTACAAATTTTCATTAGGTATGGACCCATTTTAAAGCAAACCTTAAACGCAAAATAGCAAATAATAAAAAAAGTCTCCACTTAAGCCCTATGGAAGAAGCAGTAGCAAATTTGACAAAATGCAATGTGTTGACGAAATCACTGCGAGCATCACTTGGCTCAAGTGGTAAAAAAGTGAAAGAAAATGATATAATATATGTGGAGGTAAGTAGCCAGACGAACTCAACAACGACAAAAAATGAGGAAACGCATCAATGCGTGTCAAGGGAAAATATTAATGAGGACTCGATAGAACATAACGAGCCGATTGGCTGCGAAAAGTTAATACTCGAGGTCTTAAAGGCACAAACCGAAAACCAAAAATTGATTATAGAGAAATTGGTTGAAATAGAGAAAAATACGAAAGAAATTCTAAATGTTGTGAAGAAGAGAGATTTGGAACAAGACGAAGAAACTACAAAGGAAATACTGAATGTAACAAAGCAAAAGATGTTATTATGCGAAGAAAACACGAAAGAAATTTTAAAACTAAAGAAGACGAAGCTGGAAATGTACGAAGAAAATATGAAAGAAATTATTGGAATTAAAAGGAAAAAATTGGAAATTTTAGAGGAGAAGAGAAAAAAGAATTGATTATAATTGTCAGTATATATTTTGGTTTTTTTTGAGTAAAGCGATATTTTGCTTTTATTTTTTGTTAATACATTTTCTTTTTTTTTTTTGTTTCTGTTCATCAATGAATTGATAGTGAAGTAATATACCAAAAATTGCTAATATAAGGACACAAAAATATTAGATAAATTATTTCTCCTTTTTCTTTTTTTTTTTTTTTTTTTGGACCAGTTAATTTAAAATTAGATCCATAATCCAGTAGCGCAGTTGAAAGCCATTGATGATAATTTTGAGCATTGGTAGAGACTGATGCGACAGAGTGCTCAATATGAGAAGCTCTGTTCCGCTGTCAACCCATAATTCACCGTACGTGGTACTGTACAGTTAAAAACTCTAAGAAATTTATTACATCTGAGTTCATTGTAAATAGAACATAATATGCCATCGAAAACTTTCAAATGGAAATTTTTAAATAAATAAGAAATAAAAAGCAAAATATATTTTTATAATTTAAAGCTTATTTTTTTGAGTATTAGTTCAAGAAAATTACAATTTTTTTTGCTGTTGTGGTGTGACAACATCAACCAACTTTACCATTAAACACAATGAAAAAAAAATTGAAAAAGAATTTCACAGCCAATAAACATTAAAACATTTTTTATGAACTTCTCAAGACTTCAATAAAAAATTGATTGCATTGCGGATCGCTTGTAAGCATAATTTCAGTAGGGATGTGATCTAGCAAGAATTCAGTTCTAACAAAAGTCAGACGAACGTCGCGCATTAGCTTTGCCAGATAACTTTATCGTTTCTTCGAATCGTATTTTATCCAATTCAGTACTTCTTTGTATGCATTGTCTTCCCTGAAAGATTTACTGAAAGATCGTCGTCTTTTATTAAATCATGAATCTGAAAAGAATATTTTAAAAAATTACGAATCAACTCAATATGAAATGTGTTGTGGTATGCAAATGAATAAACGGTACACGGAACTTCTCGTCGTTAAATTGTATTTAAGAAAATACATTCTCTTGACAAAATTTCTTAACATTAATGTACGCTGAAAAGAATTTGGGTGCGTGAAAAGCAAGTATGACTTTGTTCCAAAGATGTTCCTTAACGTCCTCTTATTACAAAGGCAAACAACACTAATATAACTTTCGTTCCTGTCTTTACTGCGCCCAATTCATGGCATACGAATTGCTTAATGCTTCAGTTATTTACTTACCACTTCAAAGGGCAATTCTAGCCATTCCTTCTTATGGATTAATATAACAATGCGACTATATTTGACATTAAATACTGAAAACGAAGTACCGTTGCACATTAAGATTTTTATATAATATGAAAACTGAAAATATGATTCCTCTGCGACAATCTTTTAATTCCTAGTACTAATGCATGTTTAAATTATCGTACTGCCATTTTTGGGGTCGATTGAATTTAGTTTTAATGTAATGATTTCGGTAATCTTTTCTTATTAATTTTGGATAGAATGAATTTAAAAAAAAATTCCCATTTAAAATGTAAAACAAATAATAATTTGTTTAGAAGTAAAAACAGTAATAAAAAAGATTTGAAGGAAAAAGATTTTATTCGTAGCAAAGCCAAAAGCACCTTCCATAAGAAATGTACAAGAAAATAAATTTTACTCTCAGAACTAAGAAAACAAGCAATACTTGAACAATTATTCAACAAATGTAAACAAATTCAGAAGCTTATTCTCACATTTTTCGAATTATTGAGAATATAATATACTTATTCTCGTATCTGGCCAATTTTTATACGCTTATTCTCGTACATGGCCAATTTTTATACAAATACAAGATACCATTTGATACAAATGTTATATTGCGAGCGTTTTGTAATGTTGCAAATCCTCTTTTTTTCGCTTCTCTCCCTTCTCTTCAGTTTTCCACTCTCTTCATTCCCATAACCGGTTATATATCTCTCTTGCTTATTAATAATTCATTCTCTTTGATGAAGGCGAACAAATGCTCGTAAATGTTATGAAGATTTTGCAAAATGCAAATAACTCTCCTGTAAAATCTTGCCAGAACTTTAGTTACAATAATAGGAAGAAACCAAGAAAAAACCGGATAACATGAACGGCCAAAGATAATTTCATGTTAACTGCTCTGGATCTATGTTAATGAACATTTCACAAAATTACTCAAATGCATTGTTCTCTCTCTCTACTACAGTAATTGGATAAAATTATTATGTTAATAAAATTAACAATTAACGTTTTATTAGAAGTAAGATAAATACTTGTTGGTATTCTTTCGAATCTTATTAACAACTTGTTGCTGCTGTTAATTTAGACAGAAATTAAATGACTCTGCTTGCAAAGACTGCAATAAATATTTTCGCTGACAGTTGCAACAGTCACTCACAATGTTCAGCACATAAGTAAAGAAAAAAATAACTATTTTTGTGTAACGAATTACGGGTTTTGAACGGTTTTTTTTTTTTTTTGCTTAATTTTTGAATCTATGTTAGTTAATACTTGTAAATAATAATACAAATTTTGCCAAAGAAAGAGAGGGAAAACAAAATTACGGTAAGATAGCGAAGTGATCGATTGAGAAAGAAAAAAAAAGAAAGATTTCCTCTTTTTTTTATAAAATCTGTTGTGCAATCACTACGATAAAATGAAAAATTTTTAATTAAATATTTAAATAAAAATGAGTAAAAGGATGCTATTACAAGAGAATCGAATACAAACCGAATAGTAATTAATATTGTAAATATGTAAAAGTTTTCGAAAACTACATGTGTTAGAAAAACCAAAATTTTGTGGAATTTTTACATATATATATAGCGGATACATGTATGTTTATTGGTAAATGTGTTTAAGTGTGTGCGAACACTTGACTTTTATAAATGACAAATTCTTAAGTGCATCTACTTTATGCCAGCTATTTTCAGTTCTTTTAGTATTTCTTCGTTCATTACACCACAACCTGTATGAATAATGGTACATTAAATCTGTCACTTTGATTGCAAATCGTCTGAGAAAAAGTAAAGTGTAGTTTTTTTGGATTAGTTTAAAAATATTAGTCATTTCATCTACGTATGTCCCTATACCCGTTTGCTCTTGATGGATTAACATTCGCTAAAATGAAGAATTATAGCTGTCATTAAGCATCTCACATCTTCCGCGTAGGTGAATTTGGACCATCTACAAACATTTTTATAAATCCCTTAAATAGAAGCGAACAAGCCATAGAAACGAAAAACGATTTTGAATTTTTAATTAAGTATTAAAAAATTGCTCTATATATCGGTCCAAGTTTCAATATTGAAATTTGGGAAGACCGTGGTCATGTCGCCCTTTTCGACGTGGTGAGTATACAAGCTTCGGTTTAGCCCAGATATGACCTTTTGTTTCTTCTTTTTTTCAACTTTTGAAAATTTGATGTGATTCCGATCAAAAATTAAAAAAAAAAAAAAATTGTTAATTGAGAAAATCTGTCAGCGGACATGAAGAATCCTGAAGAAATAAAAAATAAAGAAAAATAAATTGAAAATATGTCAACGTTAACCGAGCCACCAACTTACAAAGTGATTAATAGCTACTTATAGAGGTATATGCAGCCGTCTTATGTTTTTTTTTTAAAGTTGAGTGGACGCCAATTAAAAGCACGTGTGCTAGTTTTTGAACTTTCTATTCTAATTTTTTTATTTCGAAAGCGGACAGAGCGACGAACCTAAGAAATGAACTAACTTCTAACTAAAATCTCACCGCTATCAATTAGATGTCGCTATAGAATCGTGTTCATATATTTACATGAACTGTGTGAGAAAAATATATATGCAATGGCGTGGTTCCTTTATCGCACTCATAATAGAAGAAATTTACGTAATTAAATTAATTCAAAGGAATTATTTGCAAAAATAAGTTGCGATCGTGAAAACTTTATTAGACTTGTGAGTGTGAATCTTCAATTTATACTGACTAAAATGAATACTAAATAAATGGCGCGAATTATTGAAGGGAATTTCCCAACTTTAAAATTTCTACCTATTTTCAAACACAACGTAGGAAATTAAGCAAAGAATATTCGCCTGAGCGGCCGAAGGCGAGGAATCTCGACTAGCAATTGATGATCAAATCGAGTTTTGCGAAAGCGATGGACAAGTGTTGCGTGCTAATGCAGAATTGAAACAAAAAATTACGGAAAATGCCCGAAATGAAATAAGTATTGGAGTGAAATTGTTTATGAATAAAAATTCCAAAGAGTGTGTTAAGGATGCGGCAAATGCTCTGATGTCCATATTAAATGTCGATTATGTAGATAATGTGGTGTTGGCATATCATCCAAACCAATATCATACAAAAATTTCGCCTGGTACACCAGATGTCACAGCAGCGACTTTGCAACACCAAAGCGAACTTAAATGGAGCCAAAGCGCTTTGCGGTCAATTTCTAATTAGCTGCAGCGTATGTTGCAATGATAACGCAACAACGAATCCCTATTCCCTCGATTTCGCGCCGTTCCATGTCCTGCCGTTCTGTACATGAGCTACGATGATGACTATCGGAATCTGTCGATCTGTTAGTCTATCTACATACAACGGTGATGTCTCATGAGCTTTTCTCTTCTCGCCACTTTCGTCCATTTGCCTTACCGTGTTCTGCTGTCTGTCAAATCGTTCCGGTGTGCAACGATCACCGCTAGAATCATCCAATAATATAACATCGGATTCATTATCTTTAGAAATTCTATTTAAATTATGTTTACTATTTGCAGTGGTGGTATGTTCGTTACGCTTGCTGTATTTGTTGCTTACACTACTTTCAGTACATTTCACAGGTAGAGTATGTTCCATTTCACGCTGCGAACGACTGTCATCACCTTCAGTATCAGACATGTAAGCACCTAATCGAGCTTGAAGAAGAGCTTTCTGTTTCATTAATTCCTCCAAGTTGAGATCATCCTCTATAATAGCTAAATCGGGACTAGCTACATCAGCCGGCCTGAAAACATTCGGGTTTTAAATCATCAACTGTCATAAATATGTGGATGATCTTTCTATTTCCCATCCGACCGTAGCATATATGCGGCAACGGGCGTCAATTTAGAATTCTACGCTCATCAAGAATACAAACACTATAGAAAATATAATAAGACAAGATGCGAAAAGAAAGCAAATATGAAAATCAAATCTTGAGTGATATATTGAACGCAATGTAAACTACATTAATAATTCGCGCACTTACATATAAAGCTTTAAAAAATGCTTATCAGAATTTAATTCGAATTTAACTAAACTGGATTATGACCACAAGTTAACGAATACAAATCAAAAAGCTCTCTATTAATTCTCTGGTCGTACAACGAATTCTCTGTTGTGTTGAAATATTTTTTCTTTTGTTTATAACAGACTTTTTACACAATTTTTAATGAAATTTTCAAAGTTGCTTTTTTTTTCTTATAAAATGCCAAAAAATTTTTATTTCGTAATTTTCTTTCCTAAAAATGCTTCCGTGTATTTTTATGGCACTGTCTGATACTTTTTTTTTCTCTTGCCTTTTCATGAAACTACAATGCTTTATAGAATGTAGTTTTTCACACCCTTTTTTCTAGAATCACATTTATCCACCAACAACTTAAATTCCTTTGTCTAGCCTAGCAGCTGTTAATTTTCTAAGCATAATTCAATATCAATGTCCATTAATTCCCATTGTTATTATCAGAAATTTTTTATTTAATAGCTTCGCTTTTAATGCGTATATTTTAAGAAAGCACTATTTCTTGCTAGCAACTCAATGGTCGTGGGTTCGAATCTCAAGTGCGGTAGAGTTTTCAATGCAAGCCGACAGCCTTAGATGCTAGTGTTTTAAGAGTTTAGTCTTGGAATTTATTTCTCTGGCGAAATTTAATAATAATAATAATAATAAACAAAGAATACTAAGTTTTGACTTTACTAATTTTTTACGGTTTGAAACTTTCAGGAAGGTATAAACAGATGAACTAAAGGTAAAATTAACGAACATAGTCCGTAATCTTTAAACATTTTTAAGCTATGAGTGCTTTGCTGCACTTTTTCCAAATTATTCCCTTAATTTTTAAATGTTATTTAACATTATATACACGTTAATGTTAACAACAAAAGGCATTATAATATTAACAGTCAATATGTATTTTTTAACATCAATTAGACCGGTTGCCTTGTGCAGTGAGCAGATGTAAAATAACACACTTGTTCGTCATGCGTCGACTGCTTCATGAATTTCCTGGATGTTATAAAAGTAATCGCGAACTGAATATAAAACGTTATTGATCGTTTTCATTTAATATGCGTAGGTGTAAAAAGATGAAAAACTTTACAACAAATGTTTTGTTGAAATTGATTTCTATTTTTATTGGGTATATTCCAATAAACGAAAAACGAAGGAACAACAGAATAATCGGAATTGAAAGATTAAATAAATGCAAGATTAACATAAGACAAATCAAATCAAAGAGAGGCCATAATTGTAGTGTTTATAAAATTGAGAGAAAAATGTAAAGAAAGTTTACATGACTTTGCTCCGTCTCTCTTATTCCTTTAATGTTGTGGCTCTCTTTATACCTGTTTGTTCTTGTTTTCAATGTAAATTCCTAGAGACTTTCAATTACTTATTTTTATAATTCTCTATCTATGTCTTTCTCTCGCTCCCCCTTCTCGCTGAAATGAATGCATGCATAAAAAATGAGGTGCGACGATATGCAATGATATTTGTGTGAAATTTCTAAACAAAACAATGGTTATTATTGTCCGGTTGTTTAGAGTAAATAATTTTTCATGAATTATTTTCAATTACGAGAAGATTGCTTGTGAAAAAACGAAGAGCTGGAATAAGATATTTTAATTTACTATTTGCAATGTGAGTTTAATAAACTACCGTAGATTTGTTTACTCAACACCTTCATGCATATAACAACGCAAAAATTTAATGCTGAACTGGGTGAGAGAATAAGAATTAATTTTGAACAAATTGTTGAATGCGTTTATGTGTTATACACAAGTTAAAAAAAGCAAACTTAGCTTGTATACGGGCTTTTCTTATTAGGTGACGAAGGAAAAGAAGATATTACGATTTATATTTTAGAAGCATGACACAATCATTTCATGATTAACTGCATATATAAAAATACAATTATTGAGTTTATATGGGTTGTGCAAACAGAGATATTCGCTAAAACGGTTAATAATATGCCGATTGATAAGTTCGCGGAGTGATAGTAAACTTTAACAAGCATAGTCAATATTGCTGTGAAGTTTCAAATTTTTTTTCTATGCATCAAATCTAGTGGCTGTGGCTTGATTGCGAAATAAAACAACGGATATTTGCTGAGCTTCAAACAAAGCGGTAAAAAACAGTGAGAAATCCAAATCCGTCACAACATTAAACGGCATTATTTGCCTGCTAACCAAAAGACATATTGTGAATTTATTTTTGATTTTTAATCCATTCGAGACCGATTGCACATCGTGCATATATAAGTTAAGTTACATATATGCTGAAATATGCTGAAATATTCGGCTCGAAATAGCCCATTTTCACAATTGATTTCAATTTATCCATCATGAAATACTCTACACCAGCTTACAGTTCAGATAAATTATGTAACGGCTTTTTGAAGTAATGTGTTATATGAGAAGTGCTCGAAAACGCTTATTAAATTTCCTCAAAATGTCTGAAACATTGCGGACTGTATGTTGAACATAAGAAAACAAAGCAGGTAGACGGACAGACAAAATTTATATCCGTATAATAAAGGGCGATTCTTCTTCTGGATGTTGCGTACATCCGCACAAACATAATATACCCTTGTGTCATAAGTGGTGAAGGATACACAAATTGAACTTGAACATAACTTTACCTTTCTTACTCTTTAACTATACCTCGTTTCCTGTTTTTTTTTTTAGATCAAAACAGTATGGCGTCGCGTCTTTACAAAGTGGGCGTTACAGCGTTAAGTGCTACTATTGGGTCTGTGGTCGCTAGCTGGACATTTGATCGATGGAATTCATCACATACTGTATGTTCTTTCAAAATTTTCAATTTAAAACCATGTTCATGGCATGATTTCAGGTCAACAATGCTGTAGCCCGACCTCCAAAACGAAAACGTAAATTAATCTCACGTGACGAGCAAATTCAGAATTTACAGTCTGGTGAGGAATTCGATGTGCTAATCATAGGAGGAGGAGCTACGGGAGCCGGCTGTGCTCTAGATGCTGTTACGCGAGGCTTGAAAACAGCTTTAGTGGAAGGCGATGATTTCGCTAGTGGCACTTCTTCCAAATCAACTAAATTGATTCATGGAGGTGTACGTTATTTACAAAAAGCCATCTTAGGGGTGAGTTGCCGATTGATTGCTGTATCTGTCTATTTGCGCTTTTAGACATTTTTAAATCTCGCTTCTATATGGCTTTGTAGTTAGATTATGAACAATATCGTATGGTTAAGGAGGCTTTAGCAGAGAGAGCAAGTATGTTAGATTCTGCACCACATTTAGCACATCCCCTGCCAATTATGCTGCCAGTTTACAAGTAATTTTCCTTGAAGTTTTCATAGAATTTCTCGAAGAGATGAAAAAACAGTTTGGTTTGATTGTTTATAGATGGTGGCAGGTGCCTTACTATTGGGTGGGTATTAAGTGCTACGATTTGGTAGCCGGCGATCGTAATGTGAAAGGATCCTATTATCTATCGAAAAGAGATGCCTTGGAACTGTTCCCTATGCTGAAAAAGGAAAAATTAGTAGGGGCTATTGTATATTATGATGGTATAGTGTTCACTTTAATAATGAAAAGAAAACCTTTACAAATGTTTTCGTATAACGTAGGTCAACAAGATGATGCTCGTATGTGTTTAGCTGTTGCTTTGACAGCTGCGCGTCACGGTGCTACGGTTTGCAATCATGTTGAGGTTTTGGAATTATTGAAAAAAGATAATGGAAAAGGAGAACAAGTGTTATGTGGTGCTAAAGTGGTGGATCATATGACCGGCAAAAAATTTACCGTTAAGGCCAAATGCATTATTAACGCTACTGGCCCATTTACGGACTCTATACGAAAAATGGATGACCCAACGATTAAGA